CAAGTTCCCAGAGAAGACAATGTTGAAGTGGATGCTTTAGCCAATTTAGGATATTCTCTAAGGATCCTACCAGAAATTAGGATCCCGATAATCCACATGATGATCCTAGTAATCAAGGATCCTTCCAAAAAACTATAGGATCCTGATGATGATGAGGTAACAAACAACATCACTACAATCGATGATCCTGATCCTCAACTTCCTCATCAGGATCCTAGCATTTAGGATCCTTTCCTAATCTCAAGATCCTGGATTCAACCCAATGTGGAATATATCCAAAATGGTACCATCCTAAATAAAGAAAAAGGTGATAAGTCATTCAAAATATGGGTCTCATGTTTTGTGATGATCCAAGGTAAGCAATACAGGAAATCCATGGCAGGTCCATACCTTAAATGCCTAGAAGATCATGAGGCTGCAAAATTCGTAAAACACATACATGAAGGAGATTATGGTAACCACACTTGGGGTACACCCTTGTGCTCCAAGGTGTTAAGGAAGGGATACCACTGGCCAACTGTGACAACCCAATATTTCAACTCTATGTAACGACCTAAAAAGTCAAGTATTGTAACCACGTTTGTTATAATGAAATTAACTTCGAAAATAAAATGTCCAAAAATCACTAATTAAATTACCTATTATGTTAGATGTCATTAAACCATGATCGTACGTAAAAAGAACGCCCAAATCTGACTTCGTATAAGGAAGTTATGAATTTTCCAAGTTCGGCTTAGCAACAGACAGCTAAAAACTCGAAAACGGAGATCGAGCGACTTTTGACCGGAATGACCTAAATGAGAATCGAAGGACTCGACAATGGTTTTTCAACGTTAAAAAGTATGAAAAAAAAGACGTCAGATAATGAAGTTATGAATTTCTAACAAAATTTTCTTACCGCGACCTTTTAAAAATAAATAATAAAAATAATTTCAAAATTTCCCGACGGAATCTAAATGAAACTTGTAGAGTATATAGTCTCACCTACTCGTGGATATAAAGAACGTCGAAAACGGAGTTCGTATGAATAAGATATGACTTTTTGAAGTTTATTAAATATTAAAAATATAATTTTTATATTTAATTTCGGTATTATCCGAAGGGTGAGTCACGGGCCGATCCGAGTTACGCCCAGCATACTCGAGGCCTAGGCCTTGGATCGTCCACGTCGCCCCTATGCGAGGGTATGCCCCGTCCCATCCGAAGTCCGAGGCAGTCGAGGATGCGGTCACGCATGACGCGCGAGTACGCCCAGCATACTTGCGTACGCCCAGCGTACCGAGGCGGTTCCCACCCACTATAAAAGGGATGCGAGGGTTCCGAAGAAAATGCTCACTTTCTCTCAACTTTCTTGCGTTTTGCCTCGTTTTCCGTGCACATGCTATCCCGAAGTCGCGGTTTCCTTGCTCAAGTCCCGAAGGTCGTTTGTGCTCCCTAGATTCCCGAGAATCCCGAGAAAATCCACTTTCTCGAGTCGAAATTCTGCTCGGTTTTCATCTCGCCTTCTTCGATCTTTCAAGTGAGTTCATACCCCTATAATCCACACTTTTAAACTTTTTATAAATACTTTTATGTGCTTTTAAGGGGGGGGGGGGAATACAAGTAAAACACACTATTATTACTGTGTGTTATATCAAGTTTCACTATACACTTTTTATCAATGGAATCATATGTGATTTATAACTATCATAGGGAAACTCTCGTATGCAAAATAGACCACGATATTATCTTATCTTTGAAATAAGAAATGATTTATGTATATACGTAAATCAAACACTATGCTTATACTACAGGTATATGTGTCCATTTTTGGCACTAAAAAATTATACTTTTCATAATAAGTGAGCATTTCACTAGGGATTTCTATACAAACGAAACACACTTTTAGAAAACTATAATAGGTATAGTTTTACGAGAACATTACGAACTCTTACATACTAGAAATACTATTTCAATGAGTTACTCTCATATACAAGAACAAACGAACATTTTCACACGTAAATCTGTTTTATACTAAGTTTTGTGAGACATTAAACTTCGTGTACGCTCGAATACACATTTCAAGTCCTGTATTATATACCAGAATCCCTTGGAAGGGGAGCATGGTGTTTGTGTATAGATCTATATGGGATTGACAACCCCGCGCCCTAACTGTTAGCTACAGTACACCATTTGGGGTGACAAACGTCAGAACATTCCAACGCTTGAAGAACGTTGTGTATAGGCATTTCTAGTCAACAGCATGGTTATAAAACTCACATGGAGTATTAAAAGCACATTGATTTACGCGATTTTTCAGACGTATTGGAAATTTTATACGTACATAAATTAACTACTTTAGGCACGAAAAACCTAATTGTGATACCATTTTGGAACTTCTAAACCACTACCCACATACGGGAAAACATAAATTTCTAGAAACAAACATTGGTCTTGATTTAAGGCTACATTTATACCAGTAGAAAATATGGGATTTTCTAGGAACCAACAAACAAAAACAAACCATTTCATTTTAGTTCATACAAACTTTATCATTTAATACTTATGAAACTCACCAGCTTAAATGCTGACCTACTCTTTCAAAACTACTTGCATGTCCCAAGGACTCAGTAATTGCAGGTACCAAACAGCTTTTAAAGAATGGACGCTACGGCGCAGTTTAAATTCATATTTTTGGCATCATATTGTAATTGGTTTTGAACATGTACTCTTTTAACAATGTAAACTTTCAATTATATATATGATGGTTGTATTGCTTTCTTTACTATGTATTCATTTGTTATGTTACTACATGAAGTCATCCGCCCCTGAACATTTCCGTCGTTCCAGTTTGGGGGTGTGACACCAACCATGATGAAATATTCCTTCTTGTATGGTCAAATATGTGATGCTTATCAAAGATATAGCAGCATCCTACACCAACCTGCGGAATGTTTACATCCTATCATCTCCTCGTGGCCGTTCATGAAGTGAGGAATGGATATAATAGAAAATTTTCCTAAGGCACCAGGAGGAAAAGTCTTTATGCTGGTAATGATAGACAATTTCTCAAATTGAATCTAGGCTGAGGCTTTTGTTCAAGTAAAAGATTAGGAGGTGGTGTCGTTTATTAAACATAATATGTTGACTAAGTTCGGGACCCCTGTCGAAATTATATGTAACAATGCATCCTAATTCTTAAGCAAGAGGACTAGGAACTTTTACACAAGTTGGGGAATGAAATGATAATGTCCACTCATGTTCACCCTCAAGCCAACGGTCAAGCAGGATCTAGCAACAAAAATCATAGTCAATAACTTGAAGAAAAGGCTAGATGAAAATAAAGGAAGATGGGCAGAAGAACTTCCTTTTGTCCTATGAGTAGATAAGACCACTTATAAAGTAGCCACAAGCCTAACTCCATACTCTATGGTGTTTGGAGAAGAATCGATGATTCCCACTAAAGTGGTGATCCTAACGGCAAGATAATTATTTGAAGATAAAGAGAACAACGATATGATCCTAGCCTAGGATCTTGATAATATCAATGATCTTAGGGATCTTACCAAGATCCGTATCGCTGCCCATCAACAAAATATCACCAAACCATACAACAAGAATATCAAAGTCAGAAGATTCCAGATAGGAGACTTGGTATTAAGGAAAATATTCCAAAACACCAAGGATACTAGTGTAGATAAATTGTCATTTAAATGGGAAAGACTGTATCTCATAGATGCTAAAGCAGGAAAAGGGGCATATTGGTTAGCTACCCTCGATGGAAATATCTTTCTAAGATCCTGGAATGTTATACATCTTAAAGCTTATTTCATGTAAGTGTGATTAGTCATTTTCCAATAAATTCAAGGTGCACATACTCTTTACCTTTTACCTTTTATTTTCATTATTATTATTATTTACTCTCCTGAAAACCATTACTAACTTAAGCATTGGAAGGGTGTTAGCCAGGCTAACACCCACCCCAAGCTAACATTTTCTATGTGTAGTAACACAAGGATGTTGATACATAAGGATCCTGACATACAAGGATCGCGACACTCAAAGATCCAAGGATCTTGATATTTAAGGATCCTAGCACTTAAGAGTACCAATAGCTACAATATTCTATAACTCTCAATGATTGAAATACGCAAGTGTCCTAGTAACTCCGAATAGAGACTAATCATCTCTCCTACGAATAAGGGTACTTAATCCGCTCTAATGTTTAAATAGTTAATTACTTCTTTCATATGGGTTAAGGTTTCTACATCTCGCTTGGATGCATGATATCAAACTATGGGATGTAAATAAGGGGATCATTTCACACTACATTGAATTGGTAACCCTCTTATTTTGTACATAAGTTAAGATCCTAAAGTTTGAATCAAAAGTTTAATAACAATTACATATTATCTTAAGATGGGATTGTTAAGGCTAGGATCTCGGGACTGCTATGAGATCATCAAGTCTAAGGATCCTCGAATCTCAGGATCCCAACTATACTCTAGGATCCTAACTGATATTTTTTAATATTTATAACGGCTATATATTCTTTGTCTTTCTCACATTGTTAGAACAATGAACTACAAATCAATAAATTCTAAACAGGATAATTGAATCCAAGAACAATGATTGAAAGTGTGACAAATGCTTAATATATTCAAAGCTTTAGAAGAGTTCAGTGAGAACTTTTCTGTAAAAGCAATGTAGGGTAAAACAATTTATTACAATTAGCTAACCCTAAGCAGATGCATGCATACAACTTAAAATCGTCCAACACTAGTACCATAAATACGGATGGAAAGGCCCAACCCGTTAATAAATAAGACTATTAAGTACAAAACAGTTGACACAACACATATAACCCAATAATCTCTGCCTTTGTGTCAATTAAGAAACGAGATTCTTCAATGTTGCTTCTCAATCTTGAATAGCCTGGGCATGAAACTTAGCAAAGCATTCATGTTCAATAGATACCATTTGATCATATCAGTAAAAAAGTTGAGATCTCCTTCATTATTCTATTTACAAGCAACGGTAAAATCCATAATATGATTTAGTGCAGAAGAAGAGTATAAGTGTTTGTCTAAAAGAAAGAAAAAACTCTTCTGATATTTATCACTACTTCTTATTTGATAAACGACACTCCAGTCAGCTTTCTTAAGTTTTCCGAGCATCCTCTTCTGAAAATCTTTTAACTCTTCTTTCGAATCCACAATTGGCCTTTTCATTAAAACTACAACTATTTCCACATCAAGCTTCGCAACTTCGTGGATGTAGCATATCCGCATTGTTTTCAAGTGGGAAACAATCGGTGCATACTTTGCTTCATCTTTTGAAAGAATTAGAAACAGAGAAATCCAGTCATCTAAATTCATGAATGGAAAATCAGCGTGAGTGAAGTCGAATTCAATGCAAGTTTCCACTCTGAACCTTCTAAATTTGACGTTTGTAAAGTATTCAACTAAGGAGGGAGCACAAAATTTCACAACTACTAGCTTCCTTAGACTCCACATCTCATACTAAGGTTGACCGTATTAGAGATAAAAAGCAAAGATCTTGTTGTTGACTTCATAATTTGAAAGTCATCTTCTCAATATGTTCAAATCCTTTAAATAAAGATGCCTTTGGTGTGAAAGGAAAGTCAAATTGAGATTCAGAATAATTGACTAGTTCAAAAGATACAGTTGGCTCCAACCAATGAGAATTTGGTTCATCAATAGCTTCCTTCTGAATCCATTCTAGGGTCCACGGAGGAGATAATTAGTTCTAAGTCGCAAGTGTGACCTTGGAGATCTCAACTTAATTTTATTTTGCTTCCAACTCTTCACGAAGAATCAGAAGATCATTAAGCACTTTATCGCTTTTCTTTCTGACCAAATGTTCTTCTTCTTTAGAGTCATCAATCATTTTTTCTTTTCCTTTAGATCCCGAAGCTTCATTACCCTTCTAATGTATCTTAGGTTTATTCTCATGTTATTCCTCAGTAAGCTTTTGAATCGGAGGCTTCTAGAGTTTTGATTGCTATTTTTCTGTAACACTTTCTCCTCTTGTTTTGGGAGAGCATTACCTTCCGAAACCATGAATTCGGTCTAACATTGCAAAAACTGGCTGCAGCTTCTTAGTAAGATGTTGGCGCACTGACACAATAAGGATTGAGTCTCAAGTCTCCACCATATGATGTAGATACTGACTTATTTCAGAAACACAAATTTTGATAACGCCCTTCTCGGACTCCAGATCATCGAAATGCTTGGTAGCATAGTTAAGATTAAAAGAAACAACTTTGACCTTTTCATTTTTCGCAATCAACTTGTCCTTTATAGCATTTTCAGCTTCTAGATCCTCCTAAAGCTTCTCAATAATGGAAACAATCAAACTGATCATCTTGACATTATCATCCTTGAGTGCAACTCATATCTTAGATAAAGCGTCTTTCTCAAGTTGAAGGGATGTTCAGAGACCTCCTATAGCTTTGTTTTCATCTTCAGTGTTGCAATCTGAAGAGGTTTGGAAGTCTGCCATGAATATATATGAACATCAGAAAGTAGTTTTTTGACTTTTTCGGAAGTCTCCCTAACTATTTTCTCAGAATTTTCAACAGCCTTTGTGGATTCAACAATGTTTTTGGCATGATCCTTTGTCAACATCTCAGTTACAGCTTTGTGAGACTCAAATAGATACTCTTAGTTTAACGAGGATGTTGAAGACTGAAGCAGAGAATCCAATTTTTTGATTGAGTGTTTTGAATTGCCCTTGCGTCATTGGAGCTTCGTCATCATTGGTAGCTTAACGGATAGTGAATGGCTTAAAGACGAAATTTTTTAAATCATCTTGGTCATCTCTGAACATGACATTAGGATCATCTTCTCGTAAAGGTGAAGTGGTAGAGGTGTTTGGTCCAACAGAAGCACCAAAATTAAATGCCCCCGTATCAGATACGTTGATAGTCAACATTGAAGTATTGACGGTGGTTGTGGTTGCAGTAGAATCGGTGTATAGGGGAGTGGATAAAGGAAAATATATCTATGGTTGATAAATACCAACAAAATCTTGGCTAATAGATCAATGGTAATAGGTGTGGTAGTTGTGATAGGGGATGAAGTGGTAGTTGGAGAAGATGGAGGTGTAGGCAACTTGAAGAAATCATCTGATAAAGGAATGGAAGTAGAAATCAGAGATGACAAATTCAGAGTGGATTGAGTAGAATGGTTTCCGAGACAAAAGGTTGCAAAGTCGCAGAAGTATCTTCAACTTCCTTTTGAACTTGTTCAGTCCTACGAATATCCGAAATAGTGTGGGAATCTGAATCCTCATGAGTGAAAGGAGAGGAGATCTTGGTTTCCGAGCAGCCTTCTTAACCTTCTTTTTCGTAGTTTGAACATGCTCGGAAGGTCCAACTTTCCTATTTCGCTTTCCTCCCTTTTTCGGCTTATTTCCCTCCTAAAGTTCCTTTCGCAACTATTCTAGCACGAACGAATACCAGATGCAGGCTTCTATCGATATGCATCGACAACCACATTGTCAGCATGAATGTTGGGGAGCATGGTTTCCAGAATGGAACCAATAAAGTCGAACTTTGTAACATCCCAAAATTTAAGGCCAAAAATTTCGTTTTTAAATAAGTTATTGTAACCATAAGTATACAAATATCCATAATATCAACTAATGTCAAACCAAAGTCTCAGTAATCAAAATATGTTATCATACAAATATCAGCGAGTAATCCCAAAGATCTCGTGTGCAGAAAACAAAGTGTGATGCGCTGCGATCGCCGGCTCCTTTCCTTTGAAAAAAAAGTACCTGAAACAAATAGTTGAAAGCCATAAGCACGAAGTATATTGAGTTCCCCAGAGCATACCCCACACACAATCCACATAACACATATCATATCAGCTATAAAAGCTATCTCTACCACATATGTCATATCAATCACATAACTCATGCACACAAGAACTAAGGATGCCTTGGGCTCGTCCCCAGGGTCTTACTCCAGGATACCATGGGCTCCCCACATGGTCTTACACCTAAGTGCCATAGGTTCTCCCATGGTCTTTAGTAGGATATCCATGGGCTCTCCACATGGTCTTACATCCTAAGTAGGCTCTCCACATGGTCTTACATCCTAAGTGGGCTCTCCCATGGTCTTTGGTAGGAAAGCCATGGGCTCTCCACATGGTCTTACATCATGTTGCCATAGGCTCTTCCATGGTCTCCCATGCAAATATCACATAAATAAATAGCATAGCGCCTAGCATATAACCAACTAGCATACCACATATCACTACCTCAACTAATGTACCACATATCATAAAATGGGCCGGCCTTGGTGCCTTAGACCCATTGGTATGGTGAGAAGACTCACCTGGCACTGCTGAAGTCCCACGGATGCAACTCCAGCTGCTGGTTGATAGATTCTCGAACTGACAACATCACACAATACTCAATTAATAATTGGGTTCCAAGCCCAAGATCCAACTCACACTCCAAAGGCCCAATATTCAAGTAATCGACCATAGCCCGACATATGGCCCAATTTTCCAAATTGGGCCCAAACCTTTACAAGGTCTTACCATAAGGCCCAACCATTTAGTCCAGTCCAACATTCAACATTCTAATGGCCCAATATCACACAATCATTAAAGCCCAAACTATGTCCCATCTATGGCCCAGTTTTCCAAATTAGGCCCAACTCCTCATATGGGCCTTACCCCAAGCCCATTAATTATTCTACTCCACTTGCTTGATCTTGGATGGCCCGTTAATAACCCAATCATCAAGGCCTAAAAGAAGGGCCCAGCAATAAACCCAAGTAAGAATAGTGTTTCACATAAAATGACAATTAGGGTTAAGTGTCCCTACTTAACCCATTAAGGACTTAATTTACTGAGGACTTAATCCACTAAGTCCAATATTGCTTAGATTAATTTCTACCAATGATTATTATTTAATATTTCAAGTTATTAAATAGTTCTTGCACGTGTCCCGATAAATTATCAAAATTAGGGTTTTATTGGCATTAGGGTTTTCCAAACTCTAATTAGGGCTTCCAACCCAAATACTAGCTCATTTATCAATTTGTTGGGCTTTTAGGTCAATTAGGGCTTTATTGGGCCTATTAGGCCCACTAGAATATCGTTAAGAACATTAGTCACATGCTTGGTCTTTTAGGTCCAATAAGATTCATTGGGTCCATTAGAGCTTCAAGCACCCCAAACGAATCAATTCAACGAGGTAAGCACACGGACACCCGACACGGTGACCGGTGGCGGCAGCCACCACCCTATGCTGGTGGTTTGATTTTCCCTTTCATTATTCCGATCCGATTACAATTTACAATGTTTTAAACTCGAAATAAACACACACACACTAATAGGCTAACATAAAAACACACGGAGCCACTCTAGTGGTGGCCGGCGCTGGCTTGTGGTGGCAGTGGCTGTTATTCGAGAATTTCGGCTAGACAACACCCAAACACCACATAACTGCAATAGACACACACACCTGGATTTTCTGTTGTAAAATGAACTCAACCACCCCTTGGTGGCACCCAAAGATAGTAACAGGAGGTTAGATACCGGCAGGCAGTGCCTTGCGATGACTGCCACCCCCGGTGGTGCACAGTGACAGCAGCAAGAGCACCATCGGCGACAACAGCAACTCTTACAACAGCAGCAGCGACAGACGGCAGAATAGCAAGGCGTGATAGAGGTCCAACATTGAAATGAAGGAGGGAAGGGATGAAGCGAATAATATAAACAGCACAACTACGAAGGAGAGCATCCGCTCATCTTCACTGACGACACAAGGGCCACCAATGTCGCTGGGAAATGGCAGATGCAGCGTCCGGTGGTGGCTTCGTCTTCTTCACAGAGGCGGTGCAGTGGCGACCTACTCCGGTCGTTCATGACCCTTGCATCAACAACAACAACACTCCTTATTCGGTCTTTGATAGTCCTACTTCGGTTGTTCGAGACTTCACCGGCAGCGGGTTATGGTGGTGCTCAGCACACTAGGTGGCTCGTGGTCGGAGAAACAAGGGGAAATTCGGTCGGTTGGAGGAATGGAGGGGTGGCGGCCGACTCTTCTTAAGGGTTAGGGTTTACAATGTGTCATCGCAACATACATATACCAGAATATTATTACAAATTTCCCATAATTACATTTTTGGTCCCTCCCCATGGGATCTTATCAAATTTAATCCAATATTTACAATTTAAACCCTGAATATTAAAATCCATTACAACTTAGGTATAGAAATTACCAAACAACCCCCTATCTTCCATAATCTCTTCAAACGAAGTCCCATAAATTACCATTTACTCCCTGCCTTCATAAATACTTATAAAACTAATCTGGAAATTACAATTTTAACCCTCAACTTCTAAAATTCTTCACAAATCAGTATGGGACTTACATCAAAGATAACTCTCCCACAAAAGGTTCATGAGAGAGAAGGAGCCAGTAGGGTTTGAGCTAGAAGCGTTGTTGGAAGACATCTAAAAAGGAAGAAAGA